TTCTAAGATAATAGTTTTATGATTACTTTTAAAGCTGTATGTCTTTAACATGATGAGCTATAACATTCTCTATTTTCCAGTTCATTTTTGATGCATAGCAAGTTTGGTTGTTAGTCCTGAATTTTCTAAATTAGGTACAGCTGGTCCCCGACTTGCACTGGTTTGACTCGATTTTTCGGCTTTACGATGGTGCGAAAGTAATATGCATTTAGTAGAAAGTAATATGCATGTATTTTGAAATTTGAATTTTGAACTTTTCTTGGGATAGCGATATGCAGTACTCTACTGCCTCCTTATCAGGGCAGCAGCAGCGAGCCCTAGCTTCCAGTCAGCCATGTGATCATGAGGGCAAGCAACTGATACTCTACAGTGTGGTAGTGAATGCATTTTCGACTTTTGATATTTTCAACTTTTGATGGGGATATAACCCCATCATAAGTTGAGAAGCATCTGTACTTATATAGAAACATTTAAAAATGTATTTTAAAATTTATGTTACTCCTTGCCTTCAATCGTTTATAGTAATATCAACTTTGAATGTGTGAAAATAAATGCAAATTAAATACTAATTTTATGAATAGTCACATAAGATTAAATTGTTTATGTGTCTAATAAAATAATTTAAATAAGGATGTTTAATTAGTGGGATTAATTGGTAAGTGGTTCTTTTGTCTGTAGGTATACCCTCTACATACAAATGTTACAATTTAAGAGAGAAACAAAATTCATTTACCATGGCTATAAATTCAAATTATATCATAAGTACAAAGCTTACTTGTATAGCAATTAATCATATTTCAGAAAATTAAAGTTGATTGCAATAGCTCAATAAAATCAACTTGTGTTATAAGTGGACCTTTTTGTCGATTTTTAATATCAAGTTATAACCTATTTTCTGCTCTTTGCTTTTAGAATGTTTTTTCACACTATTCTGAACTCCTGATCAATGACATACATTTCATAAATATCTTGCATGTAACCTTTGCTCATTGGCTCCATCTCCTAATCAATTAATGAGTCTGAGGCTAATTTAATATTATTTTTAGAAAATGTTAAATCTTATTCTGTCTTACTATACCTAAAACTTTTTGGACTCATTCTCTCTATCATTTACTATCAAGGAAATAAATATAATTTAATATTAACCTACAATAAATTTAATTTGGAGAAGAACCTTCTGGAGGAATAAACATATTCTAGAGCCCTGAAGAAATAATTCAATTGATAGTAAAAGAGCATGATCCTTAGAGCATATAGAAATCCTTGGACAACTACTTTGATGTCATATAAGATAATAGATATTCTCTTACTCAAGCTATTTGTTGAAATTTATTATATATTCTATTAATGGAGTAGAGAGGATATTGACATTTGCTGCACCTACTATTTTCTAGAAACTGTACTAGATGTTTTACACACAATTATCGTAATCTTTTCAACAACTCTTAGAGAATGGTATTAATTTCTTTAACTTACAGATTAAGAAAAGAGAATTCAGAGGGTTCAATAATTCTCAAGGGTAAATTAGTTTGTAGCAGAGTCAATATTCAAACCCATCCCAGTTTGGCTCAAAAATCCATATATTTTGCAATATATTATTCATTCTCTTGCCTGTAAAGATAAGAAACAAATGGAAGAAACAAATATTTTCCAGAGTCTGGTGGGACTGAACTAAATTTACCAAATTTAGAAGCATCCCTCAGGTGGGATTTTCCCTGTGAAAAGATAAGGAGATTAGGAGAGTTAACATTTAATTCCAGGAATCAGAATTGAAATTTTTGAGACGTTGATTCTCAAGCTTTCTGTGATCCCATTTCCTTGGAATTTCTCAAGTTAAAAACACTTAAAGCATTTTTGAACACTTGTGTGCAAAGCACTGCATTAAGAGCTCACCCCTTAAACAACATGTTCTATCACCTCTAACATGGGCTTTGACTCCTACAATTCTGGTCTTCATAACCTTATTGAAATTTTCCTGTCAGGTTCTAACCAAATTTTAGATATACCAACTTTTTAGGCAAATCTTAAACTATATCCATGTAAGAGTGAGTGAAACAATACAAAAATGCATACTTAAAAAATAAACAGTTGAGATAGTTTAAAACAATGTTAAGTCAGAAAATGACAGCAAAATCCACAAATATGAAGAAGAATATGAAGCAAATATGAAAGAATGTGAGATATTCATCAGTTTGTTACAAAATTTTATGATGGCATTAAGAGATTAGGGTTCGAAGTGGTAATCACCTTTGTTATCAATAGCAACTCCACAAATTCAGCCACTTATGACAAAAAAGTTTGGTGGCAATAATGATATAGATTAAAATGTAAAAGCAAATAAATTTCTTAGTTTAGCAAACACTGATTAATATAACTATAATATAATTTTGTCATTTTATAAATCTTTTAGGAAATAAATTCGATTTCATGTAGCATTCAGAAGAGTCAGTGTAGGGTAGTGAAAAAAACTGTCAGGCTGGACTGATATTCAGGAAACTGAGATGTTCTGGTCCCAGATCTACCCTTAGATTGTATAGTAGTGATTTAGCTACATTTTTGGTCTTTTCATTCAACTCATACATTAGGAGTTGGATTTATTAGTTATCTGTATGAGTCTTTCTGGCTCAGAAATGTTTTAATTCTAAGTACTTTTGGTAGCAAACACATGAAGATATTCAAGAAAGTTACTGTTGTTAAGAAAGCTAGCATTGTTGATAAAAACAGTCATTGTGTGAACCTGTGTGGCTAGGAATAAAGACAAAGGAATGCATTCCCAACTATATTTAAAGAATTAAAAGATTTTTATATGAGTAGAATACATTTTGACCTGAGCTCTAAGATAATGTAAGATAAAACATGTGAGTGCATACACACACACACACACACACACACACACACACACACACACACACAGACTCCTAATAAAACATGAGTGCATACACACACACACACACACACACACACACACACACACACACACACACACACAGACTCCTAATTTGACTGATAAATCCACATATGCTTAATTTTAACCAAAACATCACAACGTATCGATATTTTAAAGGAATCAATTTAAGGAAAATACATAAAAGTCATATTTAAAAGACTTTCATATATCTGAAACTGAAAATTTTGTTAAATGAAAACTGTAGAATCCCTCTCCAAAATTTTAGGCCATAGATTATTTTTTCAATTTTTAGTTTTATTTATTTATTTTTTACCCATACATTTTTATGAAATATATATATATCTAGTTCCAAAATAGCTTTCTTCAAAACCATAAATGTAAAAATGCTCAATAAATAAATTGGAATACCGAATTATGTTTATTTTCAAACAATAAGCCCTGTATTTTAAACACAATATGGTTCAAAAAATTTTAATTACTATATGTAATCTATTCACCAGAAACACTAAAGTATATTCTATTGATATATATTTATATCTTGCCCGAAACTAATTGAAAAGAGAAAATTTCAACCAACTAAAAACTGTTATCCTTATTCCTCTCAAATTGTCAGAATACAGCTTATGCTGAATAAAATTAATTTTGCTTTGTTGAATCAGCACATTCCTTTTGCAACATTGCATGGCTTTTTAGACGTTTAGCTGAATTATCATAAGTTTTATGCAGAATTGCCTTGGAGTAGGACTGAAAAGCATCCAAAGGGTTTCACTGGAAAAAAATAAAATCTCATCTGGATATTTATTCTCACTTAAAAAATTCTTTATTAACATCTGAAAGAAACTATAGCCTTTAAGTTTGAACATAATGACAAAGTGAGGACTCTAGGGACAATGAAAAGTATGCATCAGCTTTCTCAATTCAAGGCAGTGTCATATTAAGATGGCCTACAGATAGCTCTTGACAGAATATTCAGTATAAATCTGTTAAAAAAGTTATTTTAATTTCCAGATAAATTCATATGCCAATCCTTATGTTAAATTAAATGCCTAGAAGATGCGTGCATTCAACACAATCTAATATTAAGGGAGTAGTTTGGTATGCCAAAATGAATCTAAAGGGACTGGGAACTTTCATTTTAAATGACACAAACTACTAACATAAATTAATTGGATCAATGAGAGACATGAAATAATTATTTTAAAGTATAATATAAAGGAAAAGAAGATCTACATTTTTTTAACCCAATAAATTTTTCAGATGTAATAAGGCATGACAAAACCTGTCTTCATTCCTTTCTATTCAGCTCAGCAAGTGCTTTTGCGCTCCAATAGTTAATCAGTTACCAGATTCCACAATCTTTGTTTTTCACACTCCTCAACTCCTGCTGTGAATTGTTCCGCCAATGTTTTTAGAATTACCAAGGAGGCCACCAGTTTTTTACACCTTAAAAAAAGTAATTATTATTTCATCCACAATTAGATTTACTATATAAAATTGTTACCATATAGCAACAGCCTATAAAACATAATAGTATATTATCAAAGAAGTAAATGGGTTAAGATGAATCATTAATAGGTGAAATATATTTAATAAAATTATTCAACTCAACTTTTTAAATGACTATAGCCATGCCCAGCTTACAAAAAAAGTATAGCAAAATTGTATTATATACCAAGTAACCCTTAGCCAAACAAATCAATGAACATATATGTAAGGGTTATAAAATTATATCTAACTACTTTTACATAAAAGGTATAATGCAGGTATTATTATGTTAAAAATAGAAATCTTCTTAAAACATTATTTAACCTTTCTAACGTGCATAGAAAATTGAGAAATAGTTTAAAAAGTATTAACTTACCCTTTAATTTATTTAGAAAACCTTTGCTCTTGGTCAAAAGCAGATATTTCACTGCTGACTTTCCCTGAAGCTATGAACTGAAACAGTAAAGTGGTGGAAGCCACCTCTCTGGACTACGCTAGAGTCTGCAGACACTACTACTATGAGGAAGAGTTCTGCTGCATCTAAGCTATATACAGTGTGCAGTGGATAACCTAATATGCCTTTCATTTAACTGGCTGGGCAGGTTTCTACCGTCTGTGGAACATGGAATCAAACCAGAATATGTTGGCATAACAGGCCAGTCAAACCGGTTCTTCTGTAGATCCAGAACCCGTCCAACCAGTCTGCATCAAAGGCTAGCCCAACAAGCTGCAGCGGCTCAGCTCTGCTAAACTTGTACTGGGTGAGTTATCCCCACCTGCCGTCAAACTCCCAACAAACTCCTTAGAATGTTGTAGCCTCCAGCAAAATAATTCAGAGTTCTAATTCAGAGGTGGAGATGTGTGTTAGGTAAAGCAAGAGTCCATTGTTATAAACATCTCATTGTAGATACTTGAGTATCTATCATCCTCAGAGTAGGCAATCCTTTTTTAAATGTACTCCAGGGCTCCCTGCAGAGTAAAGCCTCTAGAAAGAGATTATCTACGATGAAGAACAATCCATAATGCCTGACCTTTTCTACTAGTCTACTTGACTGTTCAGTCTAGCTTAGCATTAAGGGGGAGGTTGATATTTCCACAAGAGTAGTGGCCCTGAGAGCTAGAAGGAAGCATTTCTGGAGGGAGGAAAACAAAGTAGAGGCTGACTAAACATTTGCCTGAGTGTGTCATCTTCCTTGTACTCAAATGATCCTTATACAATTGTAATCTAAAATTGGAAAAACTCCTATTTCTACATACTAGGACAGCTTGAAAAGTTTTACTTGGATATCAACAGTTGAACATAAATTATTGATATTTACTACATGCCAGGAACTTTGCCAGGTACAGGGTTACAGAAGTGAAAAAGACAAGTTTAGTAAGAGATGGGAGGAATGTCCAAGTTCCAGTTAAACATGTTTAGTAATCTTTTGGGAAGAAGAAGTAAGCAACACAAGATCTCATTCTGACAGAAATTGGTTTCTCTTAAGGGAAATCATGTGAGATTTAGTCTTGTTTTCTTATAACACTTGCATGTTTAGAAACAATGTTTTCTATATACCGATGCAATGATTCTCAAACTTTCCTTTTTACGTATCTTCTAAAATACTGATTGAGAACACAAATTACTGAGCCACACCTCCAGAGATTTTGATTCAATAGGTCTGGGATGTTACCCAAGTTCTTAGGTGATTATGCTGCAGTTGTTGCAGGGACCATAGGCCCAGACTCCTGCTTCTTGTCTATTTTTTTGTACTTAATTAGATAGGATACATATTAATCAAAAGTTGCTGTATTTATTTTTGTATCTCCAGTGTCCAGAACACCAACTCTTAGAAAGTATTTAATAAACGTGTGTTATGTAAAGATATACTCAGCACCAGCTCTTACTAGATCCAAGGGGAAATATAACTAATAACTATTATTTGAATCAAATGGGTTAAGTACTATAATTATAATAATTGAGGTAGAGACACAGAAAAAGGAGCAAGTATGACTGAGTATGGGATAGATTTCACAAAGAAGATGGGTTTAGAGACTTTCCTTTCTTAACCATGACCAAAGATTGCTATCTGCAGGATAACAAAATGTTGAGGCAACAATAAAAAGAATGCCTTTGATTTGATTCAGTAATAAGGTTTTAAGTACTTGAGGACACCATGACCTGAAAACTTAGTAATAAGGTTATTTCCTAGAGCAGGGCCCAGCAAATTTTCCCACAAGTATCAGAGAGTAAATATTTTAGGGTTTGTAGGCCAGATTGTCTCTGTTTCAAATATTGAACTCTAACATTGTAGCAGAAAAATAGACAAACGATAGTCAGTGAATAGGTGTGGCTTTGTTCCAATAAAACTTAATCTTAATAAAATAGGTGACGGATCAGATCTGACCAATGGGCCATAGTTTGCTGACCCCTGCTCTAGAGTGAAAATTGTAAAAATTAACAAGATTACATAATTGGTTAAGAAAATAAGCTTGCATATCAGAAAGACTTGGCATCCATCCCAGTTCTGTTCCATATTAGCTTTGTCACCTGAATCGAGCATTCATTTTACTTTATTTAATTTATTTAACTTATTCGTTTTATTAAATGTGGATGAAAGTAACAGTTGTGACCCCTTAGAGTTATTTATGATTAAATAATATAATTCACATGAGGCTTTATCCAAAAATCTAGTACACAGTAAGGGCCCAATAAAATTCAACTAGAAATAAAGCTAGTTAAGCATGGCAGTTGAACATGGATGTTTATTTCCATTATTTCTTGAAGTCCCACTAAAATGACAGTAAAGAACCAAAAACGACATGAACTTTTAAGGATCAAAAAGAATGAGAGAGGTAGCAGACAAGATGTGTCCATAAATTTTTGAAGAAGAAATATAGATAAATGATGACTGATTTAACAGAATAGAGAAAGAGAAAGTCTACTTTCAATAATAAAAGCAAGTCTGTCTTTGCTGCAGAATCCTGGAAAATTTCAAGAATTGGAGTCACAAGCTACCACAGATGGTTTTGGGGAATTGGGATGGGGCTTTAAATGGGAGAATTGGTTGGCAGAAGATAGGTAGGACTTGTTGATTCATGATGGGAAAGATTTCCCAGGTTGGTTCTGGACTTGAAAATACCAAGCAGAGATGAGGGTGAATGGTGAAGTACCACATTGAAAGCAAAGAGATTGTATTAGTTTCCTATGGCTGCTATAACAAATTGCCACAAACTTAGTAGTTTAAAAGAACACATTTATTATCTTACATTGCTGGAGGTTAGAAGTCCAAGATGAGTCTCATTGTCTATGATCAGGGCATCAGCAAGGTTGAGTTCCTTTCTGGAGGCTCTGGGAGAGAACTTGTTTTCTTGTCTTTTCCAGTTTCTAGAGGCTTCCTGCATTTGTTGGCTCATGGCCCCCTTTCATCTTCAATGTCAGCAATGACCAGTCAAGCCTTTCTCACACTGCAGCATTCTGACACTGACTCTGCTGCCTTCCTCTTCCCCATATAAATCCAATACAGGATAATCTCCCCATTTTAAGATCAGCTGATTATCAACCTTAATTCCATCTTCAACCTTAATTCTCCTCTGCCATGTAACATAACATATCACGGGCTCCTAAGATTAGAATGTGGACATCTTTGAGAGACTCTTATTCTGCCTACCACAGAGATTAAGTCAAAGTTTCTATATTGAATGGTGAGATGACCAGGTCCATTCTTCTGCTTGACTTCTGAATGCTAATAACCAGGTTTATACTCCTCACTCAGTAGTCAGGAAGAAATTTTCTCCAAGAAAATCTCAGAATTCTTATCACCCTAATGCAGTGGTTATTAACTAAGGATGATTTTGTCTCCAGGAGCCATTTGGCAATGTCTGGACAAATTCTTGATTGTAAACTACTTGGTAGTGGGGAGAGATGTGTCACTGGCTTCTAGTGCATAGAGGCCAGGGATGCTACTAAACATCTTAAAATGAATAGAACAGCACATCCTCCCCTCTCCCTGCCACCCAAAATAAGTATCCAATTCAAAATGTCAATAGTGCCAAAGATGAGAAACCCTAGTCTAATATTAAGCCTACCAGTCAACATTACCCTAATATAAATAAATCCCACCTAGGCACACAGTTTCGAATCAGCATTTTTATGCTTCATTCTAAGAGATCATCTAACATGAAAGAGACAAAAAAGAAACCAATAGTTAAAAAGAATTTATATAAAATAGTCAATATAGGGAGCTGACTAATAATAATAAACCCCACTTATATTAATATCGTCGAAGAAATAGAAGATATCAGTTACATAAAAGATAAACATCAGGCTATCTAAAAGTGAAACTTTTGGAGAATAAAAGTTATTGGGAAGTGAAAATATGATAGCAGAATGACAATCAACAGGAGTTAGAAAATAAAGTTGAGGTAATCTACCAGAAAGTAAAATTAAGAAAGTACTGAAGGATGTGCTACAGAATATGAGTAAATTTAAAAAGATGAAAATATAGAATCAGAAGTATCTCCACTTCTCTTTCCATAAAGTTCATCATGGCCACCAGTCCCAAGACCACAGCACTATATAGGGTCATTGCACACAAGTAAGTTATGAAGACTCTGTGATTTTCACTTCAAAATCACATTGCCTATGACTGAGGGAAGGAAAGAGAGTGGGAGAGAGAGGGAGAGAAGGAAGGAGTGAGAAAAGGGAGAGAGAGAGTGCGTGAGAGGGAGTGGGGGAGGGAGAAGGAGCAGGAGAGGAAGGGGGGGAAGATGTGAATATGATTAGTTTTTGATATGAGATTCAATTTAAACATTTTTTTAAAAAATGCAAGTGCTGAATTCACTCTTCACCAGGGATTAATGTTCAAAGGTCATAAAATGAGGAAGGCAATCAAACTGTTACAAGAACAAACTTGCACCTGTCAAAAAAAGTGTGCACATTTATACCTCCAATATTTATAAGTAAGGGTTTGCAACATATTATTCAAAATCTAGTAAAACCTGATCACTATTAAATTAAGAGCATGTTTCACCTGAATAAGCCCAAATCAGGAAGCCCGATTTTGAGCTTGCCTCAGTTATTCTTAGGGTATAAAAACATGGATTAGTTATTTATTTAATATCCTGAGCCTCAGTTGCTTTATTTGTTAAATGAAGAAGTTCGATTGGGTATATTCTAAATATTTAGCTCAACTCTTTTACTCTAAAGTTCTTTTGGGCAAGTGAAAATGTGGGAACAAAAGCAAAATAGGCTAATCAAGGAGGCATTTTATAAGAGAGCAATTGAAAAATGCAAGCTAATTTTAATTCGTGTTCTCCAAAAGCTGACGCTGAGATACGGATTCAGGTGCAGGTGGTTTATTAGAAATATACTCTAATATAAAGCTAGTAATGGAGTCAGGGAGGCAGGAACAGAAAGAAGAATAAGAAATGCAAAAATATCACTTCAGCATCGAGTCCAAAGGTTCAAGTTTAAGCAGATTCAGGTCATACAATATATGTTTTCTGGCCACAATGGAATTAAATTAGAAGTCAATAAACAAATAAGGTGTGGAAAATTTCCCATTTGTAAACTAACACACTCTAAATAACTCATGGGTCAATGATGAAATAAAATGGGAAATTAGGATGTATTTTGTTATAAATGATAATGAAAACCCAACATAATAAAATTAATGAGGTAAATATATAATTAAGTTCAGAATGTGCTAAGATTGTAATGTTGGTGGATAAATCACTTGTAAAACTAGTAATGGTTAAAAGACAAAAGTATTAAACATTA